AAAGTAACAAAGAAAGTCGCTTCTGGTATTGGGGCCATAAAACGAATAAGGCACCTTGTCCCTTAGGCGACCTTACAACTAATATATCAAGCTTTAATACAGCCACACTTCGATTATTACAGGTCTCTGCACGGGATGGCTCCAAACTATCTTAGTGCGAGAAGTCGCATATAACCTAAGGGACTCTGAAAATAAACTCAATGTTCCATTACCGCGCACAAACTATTACAAAAACAGCTTTGTATATTTGGATGAATTTTGGGTATTTTTAGTGAATTTTTTTCGGGTATACTGGTATACCACTACCCCCGCTGGCCGACCCTGCGGCTTGCTCTTGGGCAAAAACGCGGTGAGATAGAATACGAAGATCGTTTAAGGAAACTGGAGTGGCCTACACTCGAAACACGTAGATTGTGTCTTTCTTTAGCTGAATTGCTATAAGACCGTTTTTGGGACGAACAAACTTAACTTTTACGACCTTTTAGAATTTACCAAGTGCAATTCAACCCACGTTACCCATCCGTATAAACTATATGTTAAGCCAGCAAAGTGTAATCCATATAAATATTCTTTTCCTATCCGAATCGTACGGGACTGGAATAGTACTACCAGGATCTATTGTTGAGGCTGGGAGCCTGTGCCGTTTTAAGAGTGCGCTGAAGCGCTTCCTAAATATCCTTTTTTTGTTTGTTTTGTTCATCTACAATGTATTGATATTATTGATCATTAGTGATCCAATTTATTTCTTGTAAATAGTTTTTAAATGTCTATTTTATATTCTATATTGTACATAGCATATAATCTGTTTTTATATTTTATTTAGGGTAACAACATAGGGACAACCTCCAGTTTTCCTTTTCAAGATGTTTTATAATTTTTAGTTCATCATCTTGAATAAATAGGTTGTTATAATTATTATTTTCGTTTACAATTTGCATTACATTTACCTCCCCAAAACCATCCCAAGTAAAATATATTATCAATGTATAGCAGCCTTATACATAAACACAGCTGTCTCTTTCAAGTCAAGCATAACAAAAATTTATTATTGCTGGCCTCCTATTTTCGATCCTATTTATATTAATATTTGAAAAGAACATCTGGATCTCCTCACAATATTAGTGTGTGACATGTGTTACAATGCCAGGAAAATTAATCATTCCCCGTAAGTCAAGTCAGGGAGTTTCAGTAGAAGTCAGGGAAAATGTAACTCTTTCAAAAAAGGCAGAGGGAGTCGACATATTCCTGCATACTCACCGAAGTTAAACATGTTCCATTGGCAGAATATTGTATCAAGAAATCAAGCGACAAGTAGATATAGGGTTTCCTATGAGATCCATCCATTCACTTTTACATTCACGATAAATTCATGTATTAAATAGGTGGACAGGATGGCTGTGATGAGAGTTTAGGCATTAATTTTGTGTACCAGACACAGATGACATAAAACACTGAAAAGAACAAAAAACCATGAAAACATACCAAGCAGATTTTCCCTGAACAGAGAACATAGGAGTCTTTTGTTTTACATCATCTGTGTCCAGCATGTTACACGAAGTTTTAAGGTGATTCCCTAGTAAAAGAACGTAACATAGATTGTAGATGAAACTTGCTACACTGACGTAACAAGTCAAGAAGATGATAAAAAAGTAATAAAAAGTGGGGGTCACCGTGCTCGTTTTCACGTCACAATGCTGACAAATACGGCTATTTAGGACCCTTTTACAAAACCGCGGCAGCCCAAAACTAGACAAAAAGGAGAGTTTTTTTCGATGATGCATGTGGTATCAGACAGAATTTGACTTTAATGTATTGTTTATCCACTTACGTACCAGAAAAATGCCTTTTAATGCCCTTGTTTTTACTTTACGCTCCAAAGTAGAATTAAATTGGACACGCGCTATTCGACCCGTGATAGCTCAATCCGTACAATTTAGTAAAATTGCCAAAAAACTGAACATAGATTTGTGCCAATTTTTTTCTCATCGAAAGCAAGCACTGTCCTTATTAAAATCATGAAATAAAAAATGGGGGTCACCGTACTCGTTTTTGCGGTAGAGCTGCAGAAAGTGCGCACCAAATGCATTTTCTCCGATTTTTGAGAGAGGACTGGGGCGAGTGTCAAAATAGAATGTTTGTGAAAGGGGGAAGAAAGTATTAAAAATCCGTTTTTACAGAATTTACATCGAGATATCACATTTAGGACACAAAGTGATAAAGGGTTTAAATGAAAATCAAAGTGAGTAAGCACAAGTTAAACATCTACTATCGAGGTTCTCCAAGAGGAAGTCGAACTCAGCCACTCGCGTACTGCTTGCGTTATGCACATTCCCAACACATTGAGTCTCACCTCGGCAAAAAACAACAGCAAGCAAAAATTCCAATAGCGCTTTTCTTCAGTCAACTTCATTTTAATAATGTTTGTTCACATGCTCTTTTTTACGGCGGCCATCTTGTTATGCGCAGTAAGAGATCATCAGATGCGCAGTGCAAAACCAGGGAATCAAATTCTGGACAAATTGTCAATTCCTTTGGTCAGTGTACATTTGACTGTCAGTCTGGGAATTTAAAAAACTATACCTCTGACAACCATGTCTCAACAAGCTCATGTTTGTTGAGAATTGAAATACTGAAATACACCATCAACATTACTTGTATGTGGACATTTCATACAAATTCGCTCTTGCATGAGTATTTGTTTCTCATGCATGTACACAAATAACTATAAACACTTTCAGAAATGATTTGGTATTTTTTACGGTGATAATTCAGTGCTAATGAGGATACCGCATATTCAGTAATCATGAGTCATGATCACTTTCATAGTTCTCTTCAACTGCATCCTTTATGACATAGCCTGGGACCAGGCTACGCAGTACGGGGAAAAAGGAAAAAAACGTGGTCAAATAGGAAAAATGTCACATTGCTACATGTCATTTCTATTTTGGTGTAAGTGATTTTGTTTACCCCTTACTGTTACAAACAATTAGTTGTCAAGTGTGATTATGTACTACAGCAAGTGCAAACACTCTCTTGCTGTAATTCACTTAACAATAATAATTTTTTTCTTCAATTACCAGCATTTACTTGTTATTTTCACTGCAGCATTATCTCCTACCATTTCATCCGCTCACTACTAATGACACACTTCACAAGCAATTATTATTACACATTAAATGAGATGGCATGTGTTAGCTGCATATTCGCGTGCAGTTATTCACTATCACACCCATTTTCTTTTACTATAATTACACATGTAGGAGGGTCAAATGGGGTGAACACGGGACCTATGCTACCCTTCCTTGACAACACCAACCCCATTTAAATCCCAGAAAATCCTTTGTAATAAAGGAGCACTGGGTTGAAATTTACTCCAACCAAAAGGCGATTAACTACTATTAGAGCCAGTGTTGAAACTCGCCCTCCCAAGCCACACAATTTACTCCAATGCTCTCCCCCTTCAATCCCTGACATTTTATGCACCCCCCCGAGCTTCGCAGGGTTCTGCGATACACGTATTTCTAGTATTTTATATACATGAGAACAAGGAGGGGATGTATTCATATTAGCCGTATGTTGCTTGTATGTACTCGTAAATGACTCGTATGTTACCCGTGTGTACTCGTATGTATTCGTATGTCATCGGTGTGTACCCATCCATATGTACTCGTTTGGAATGTTACTCATATGTAGTGGTATGTTACTCGTATGTACTCGTGTGGTGTGTTAGTCACGATCCTCGGTGCCACACTTGAGTGCCTCCGCGCCGGGTGTTGTGTTCAAGTTGCCGTTATTTGTCTCGCATCTTCTCGTCACGCACATTAGTTTTGTTCAACAAAACAAAACAAACTTAAAATTGCAACGATTTTACTACCTATCCATAATAATAGACCTTGTCACGGTTTTCGACGCCATCTTGACGAGTAGACAAACGTGTGAGAAATTACAGTGTTTGTATGAGAATCTAATGTCGAATAATTTCCGTAAAACGGCTGTTCTGAAAAAAATATCAATTGTAAACTAAAGCTACAAAGCAAAGGATTGTCCTAAAAAAATTTGGGGGCGTACCTGTGCTTAAATTTCTCTAGAGGCTTGCTTTAGATTTTCCATATATTTGTCTGTAATTTTCCTGGGACTTTCTTACAGACAAATGTATAGAAAATTTTGAAAAGTGGTTCTAGGTCTTCTAGTGCATGTAACGCCCACAAATTTTTTCAGGAGAATCCTTAGGAGTGGAGCTTTAGTTTACAAANCAAACGTGTGAGAAATTACAGTGTTTGTATGAGAATCTAATGTCGAATAATTTCCGTAAAACGGCTGTTCTGAAAAAAATATCAATTGTAAACTAAAGCTACAAAGCAAAGGATTGTCCTAAAAAAATTTGGGGGCGTACCTGTGCTTAAATTTCTCTAGAGGCTTGCTTTAGATTTTCCATATATTTGTCTGTAATTTTCCTGGGACTTTCTTACAGACAAATGTATAGAAAATTTTGAAAAGTGGTTCTAGGTCTTCTAGTGCATGTAACGCCCACAAATTTTTTCAGGAGAATCCTTAGGAGTGGAGCTTTAGTTTACAAATCATACTTTTTTCAGAACAGCCGTTCTACGGAAATTATTCGACATTAGATTCTCATACAATCACTGTAATTTATCACGCGTTTGCCTACTCGTCAAGATGGCGTCGAAAACCGTGACAAGGTCTATTGAATTTGACTCCCACTTAACACGGTATGTATTTGTTTTCTTTTATAATTGCATTGCCACAAATGCCCTGACTGTCCTGGAATACAAAGACAAATAAACGTTTTAAAATTTCCATTTAACCGACTGACAGAGTGACGTTTCATATCTTATACAATTGAGTATGATGTGTTTAAAATGGAGGTCCATGAAATCATAGTTGTTGTCTTACTACACCAGACAATGCAAGTATCAGGAAATGTTATTTTAAAGCTCCTTTAACACGGCTGAGGTCTTCAAGTGGGTTTAACATTCTATGACTTATAGTAGCATACCCTCAACTATCTTCCGATAGTTAGAAGCACAGATTTTGTCGAAGTTCGTGTCATTTTTCAGCTCCGCGAATTGGATCTTCTTTGCTCTCTCGATGCACGCCGTTTCCAACCTATCCAGTCCATAGTTTTGGGCGATGACCAAAAGGTCTAAACAATCTTCCTTCCTCACGTAGTTGCGCTTATTTCCGCATTTACAACGACCTTGGAAACTAATGGCCGAGCCTAAACGATCAATAAGGTATTTTTCACATTTCTCAGTCACCTTAGTCATCATGTACTCTTTGGCAAGGTCAAGTAAAAAGGCATAGTTGCTTCCATCGATCGGTTTTGCAGATGTTGGATAAATTACCAGCAACATTTCCTTGATTTCAGCTGATTTCTTTCCCGGAAGAGGAACTTCTTCATCGGTTTTCTCTTTGAACAGTGAGGTAAACATCGTTGAGAATACTTCGGACCACATCCCCAGAATACAGCGATGAACATGAAATCTTTCTTCTTCTACAATCAACAAAACATCACTGAGTTCCCATGGCTTAGAAAAGTCGAGCGAATCAGCTTGATTTGACATTCTTTGAACAGTACTGTGAAGGCAAATGTAGAAGTGATATTTTCTTTAGAGCTACTACGCACCACAGGCCAACCATGTGATCTCATACATTTGATGTATTTTGTAACGCCCGCTCAGTGATCGGAAGACACAGAAGTTTGCACCGTTTGATCCCAAATGTTAATGTAAGGAAAGAAAGATGAATAAAGATTACTTACCATGTTTTTTTAGTGTCATCTTCTGCGTTTTTGGGGCGTTTTGAGTCGGTTGAAACTGACACGAGCTGCCGAATGATAGTTTTCACAGTGACGTCATCAGACTGCAAAGTCAAAAAGGCGAGGTTTTACGAATTCTTATGTACACTAGGTTAAAGATAAATACAAAATAAATCTTTGTACAAGTTTCTAGCGCAGAAGCATGTTTCATTTCGAAAATAAAGCAATTTGAACTTCCGAGTTTTCACAGTGCGTGACACCAAAAAAGGAATTAAAAAAAGTCTCTCCTCTTGATTTTCAGCAGTTTAACCATTTCAAGCATCAAAAGATGTGTTTATGCTCACGTATGCTAGATCTCGAGTGAAAAGGAAGAGCTTTTATGGAAAAAGTGAACTCCAGATGTTTTTGTTGATTTCCGGTGGCCATATTGAATATCGGCGTCGACAAAACCTGCATCGGATTACCGATCCGGTCCGATGATCCGATCCGTGATCCGATCCAGATTTTGTCGACGCCGCACCAATACGGCGTCTCCATACAAAGCTCTACAAGGGTGCGTGAAATGTCTCGGCCAATAACGTAGAAACTGTGGGCCACCAAGACCTGAGATTTGGACAAATTGTTTATATATATCAGTCTTTTCAGATCCTACGTTCTTCGGCATATTCGTTTGCAGTCCTTTGCAGTCCCTTGTGGTTAATGTTTAAACCTTTCCTTTTTTTTGGCTTCTTCCACTGGACGGTTTCTAATTTATTTTTTTTGTGTCGTGTTTATTGCGTGACATTGAAAGTATTGCTGGTTTTCAGTGTCACGCCATTCAAAATAGATCAAAATAAAAATCAAACCGTCCAATAGATAAAGTCCAGAATCTGGGAAATGAAAGGAAGTACATATACAAAGACCCTCGCCAAGATTCAGGTCAGAGGAATATTTCGTATACGAGATATCCGAAGAAATGTTTTACCTAAACTTATAGAGATTTGTATGGAGACGCCATGCTACCATTCTGGTGCTCACCTGGATGAGCTCCAACATAGCGGACGGAAACCAACAGAAACATCTGTTACCGAGTTTTGCTACAAAAGCGTGGACTTTTTCTTCGAGAAAATCATAAACATGAAAGTAATACTTTTTCTAATACATGAACTGTTTAGATAGGAAAATTTCCTGAAATAAGTCTTTTTTTTTTAACCTACATGACAGCTCTCTTGGCCGTCATGTATACTAAATGCCGCGTCACGCAAAGGCAAGAAACCTTTTGAAGAGAAAATTTGCATGAAAATTAGTTTTCAGCTGCTCTAATGCATCGTGAAAGTAAAATTTCGGTAGGATCGATAGGTTTTTAGTTTGAATTTTAGTGACGTCATATGAAAACCAACAATATTAGTCGCTTGAAACTAGCCTGCGTGGCAGGGGTTAAAAGTGGAAGGGGAAGAGGGAATTTGGACGCGCGAGGGAGAAAGGTTCCCCTCCTCCCTCCTCCCTAGCGCGCGGTCTCGCGCCCTCAATTCCCTTCCCCTTCCCTCAGTTTCGAACGCCTGCCACGCAGGCTACTTGAAACTGACACCCCTAACATAATACATATATACTAGGAGTAATCGGAGCTCAGAAGAATGCGTTCGATATGATTGTAAGGCGAACAGGTAGCAGTTGAGGAGGAAGGGTGGAGATTAAGCCCGGTTTCCATATGATCGCTACGATCGCTGTGATCGCTGCGATCGCTGAGAAAAAAAAGTTCAGTGATCATATGGAAACCACTCTCCAGCGATCGATAGGACTTTCTATATCTCAGCGATTGTTGTTGCTGCGATCGCTGGAGAGTGGTTTCATATGATCGATATGATCGTTGAATTTTTTTTTCTCAGCGATCGCAGCGATCACAGCGATGGTAGCGATCATATGGAAACCGGGCTTTAATTTGGTCATGGCATATTTTAAACGTAAGGATTGCTTACAGCGAAACCTCTTTTTAAACTGTGTATCATTATGAAAAAGCTAGTGATATCGTATGGTCCGTCTCAATAAGTGCAGTAGTTTGGTCGAGTGTGTTGATTTCAGTGACTTGAGTGGAGCTACTGTGGGCTGTTTATAAGTTTTTCCGAATAAATAACATAGACCTAAAATGTTCATTTGTCCGGTGCCGAAAATATCACAAGTCATGATGAAACGGCACCGCCGAGCTTCACATCTCGGTAGATTTACTTTGTGGTACAACGGCCGCCGAAACTTTTGAAAGATAAACGTTTTGAAAGATTCAGCAAACACAGATCGATAGTAAGATCTTCAGCAAACTCTTGAAATATGTACGCTTTACGAAGATTCAGCAAACTTTTAAAAGATGAACGCTTTACGAAGACAGAATAAAAGACCTCAGCAAACGCTTGAGGACACACGAATCACTACGTGAGTTAGTCCGTCAAAGTGAGGCAAAACGTAAGCAAGTGCCTCAAAGCGGGGCAAATATAAAACCTCCCTTGTTAATTGCACAGGGATCCCAATAATGCACAGAACACCCAACAAAAATTAAGGGTTGCGTTCTCGTACCTCGAACGCAATTAGTCGGGGATCAATCTCGTTCCCAGGTTCTCTCTCTTGAACCCTGGGAACGAGGTTGGTCCGGGATATTAGTTTCAAGCAGCTAAAAACGCCACGAAAACGCTGAAGACGACCTATATATATGGTATGGTAAGTAATCTTTATTCATCTTTCCTACCCTACATTAACATTTAAGCAAAAGGTGCAAACTTCTGCGTTAAATGAAGCATTTCTCCCCATCCCTAAAATCAAGCCAAGAGCGGGCGTTACGAAATACAGTAATGAGATCAGTTTGCCTGAGTTCGTACCTAGGTGCTTCTTAAGTTTTTCCAGGGTAGTCGCGGCGCAAGAGATCATGGTAAGCTTTTCACGTTTAGCCTTCCCTTGCGCCTTTGCGTTTTTGAAGCTTACTTCCATGCTCCTTGCGCCGCGACTGGCATGATAAAAGTAAAGCGATTTTGAGTTGTATTGCTCAGTTGAAAATGTTAAGGAATAAAGCTACAAATTGTAGACAGAAGCTATCTGCTCACACTTTTACGGCTGTAAGTTACGGTGGAAGTGCGTGGGAAATACATTCTATCCGTGCGCAAATGGTCTCTATCAACTTAAACAAACAATTGATGATAAAGACAAACGTTAGTGTCACTCTTTAGTGCGTTTAATTATTTTTCCGGATTGAATTTGCCGCATTACATTAGTCGCAGGTGCGGATAGGACTTCACTGCATTGTAGCCCTCCAGCACTGGCGTAGTAGTACCACGTGACTGGCCACCTGCAAACGGACTATTTGGTTTACAATGACACAGAAATCATTGCTATCTCTTTCAGTAAATTTATTATTCATAAATTTCACTTCGAATGATGTCCATTAACATCATGCTCGAGATGTGTTTTTGATCGTGGAAAACACTAGATATCGTGAATAAGGAAAAATCGGTCAACGAAGAAAAATCTAAAGCTGGCCCCGCAACTCTGGTCCCTTACAGTGAAAACCACGGTCCTCTTTTTTTCCAGCGAAAATAGCTATCGGAGGACTAGTGTTAAGGCTTATATATACTTCCTCAATGTATTTTTTAGCGAACATCTTGCGCCTCATCTCAGTATTATAGTAATCCCGGGTAGAGTTTAACTGGGCTTCTATTATCATGATAATTTACCAAGAGAAATGCGGATTTGCTCCAAAATCATAACACAAGCCCGTCAATTTATCATGGAGATCTTTCAAAGGACCTGCTAGTTTCCTCAACTCTCCATTTGAACGACTGATACAATTTAGCTTCTCATGTATTGTGGCGGGAAGATAATTTGCCTTACAAAACGACAAAGACAATATAAATAATATTTTTCAGCTCCTTAATCGCGGCTACAGCCTTTTCTTTTGCTCGGGAGTCTCGATCGTCTTTAGATTTTATCATTTGTTCTTTAGTCTTGAGCTCTTCCTTTGTTCTTCTAACCATACCCTCTAAAATCCTTTCACGGTTGGACACAGAAATGTTCTTGTAATTCGTGTCAGTTGTTAGTTTCTGGAATTTAATACGCATTGCTAACTCAATGCAAGCACTTTGTAGCCTGTCCAGTCCATAATTCTGTCCAATATTTAGAAGCTCAAGGCACTTGTCTATGAAATCTTTCTCAGGGACAAACACCGGGAACTGCCGCGGGAACTGAGAAGCCTCTTTTTCTAAACCTTTCGGAAGGTCAAACAGATTCTGCCTCGGCAGCTGAAACTGAGTATTTTCTTTTTCTAATCTAAGGATCAGGTAGTTTTCGCATTTTTCAGTGAGCTTCATCATCTTGTACTCCGTCGCGAGGTCCAAAGGAATGCGTAGTTAGTTTGATCGATCGGTTTCCCAGACGTAGGATAAATGACCAACAGCATTTCCTTAATTTCAGCTGATTTCTTTCCCGGGAGAGGAAAAAGGTTGGCGGTTCCGGCAGCAAACATCATCGTGAAAACTGGGGACCACATTCCCAAGATATTGCGATGAACGTGAATTCTGTCTCCTTCCACGGCTAACACGGCGTCGCTGAATTGCCATGGTTTAGAAAAGTCTAGCGAATCTCTTGCGTTTGACATTGTTTGGAGCACTGATGGACGACGAAATCACGAAGGGCAACAATGAAGCTCAACCAAAAGCACGCCGGGGTAGACAAAACGCTACTGCGAATTATAACGCAGGTGTTTAATGTTAAGAAGTGAAGAGAGCTCGCGAGGAACGATGGGAAGTGGAAGACCTCGTTCTCGTTGCCAGATCTCCCACGGTCGGGCCAAACCTACGCAGACGTCAATGAGAGCTTTTAACATTTATTAGCATTATTAGCGATTACGTCTGCTAGCAGTAGCCGCGACTCTATCTCTTCCTTTTCTACATTCCAGTCCGAGTCGTAAATATGCAAATTATCTTAGATGGGCTGTCATGAAAAAATTTAAGAGAATAGAGTGCAGCGGTAAAGACATAGGGCGGTATCTGATTCGTTGTTAATTACCTTGTCAGGATGGAGTAGCTCAAGTGCTATGATTATCCGGAGCGCTCTTATACCGGAGGGAACTTAACTTGCAGTAGGTTTAACCTTGCCAGGCATGAGAGCTAAAGGGTAGCAGCCAGACCAAATCATATCTTAGTAAACTTCAATGATATAAGAAATCCTCGGTATAAACATGAGTGCTGTCGCATTGTATATAGGTGATCATTGAGAAACTCAGGTTTATTGGCTTCATCTGCACTGATCGGTGACGGAATGTAATCCAGTGAGAAAGTAGGTACGGGATTAAGGGAAATCCATTCAGTGTTTGAAAGAGCAATTAAACTACATGAGAAGTGCTTCTACTTTTCTCGCACGGGACTATCAATCAATCAATCAATCAATCATTTAGTTTGACACTTCACGTCGAGGAGCTATAAAACTCGTTCAAAATACGAACGTGTAAGGTCAAAGGTTAAGCTGTTAAAATCTCGTGTGGAAAGGATCTTTTAAACCATACCCGAAAGAGCAAGATAAAGTCAAACAGGCAGAGAAAAGCGCCAAAAAAAATTAATATAATAAAATAAAATGAACACAATGTAACAATAATAATGGAAATTTGACGGAAAAATTGAAAATTGAGCGAATGGGTTAAGCAATTACCCTGTTATCTGGAAAAAAATCCTATTTGAGCTACCTTTCATGCGCGGTTTCCTGAAAGACATAAACAAGTCTCTAGAGTTTTCGTAAATATTTCTATCGAAGGATTAAGCGGTATTTCACAGCTTAGGAACTACAACCTTGAAGGATCGATCGCTACAGGATTTTAGCGGTGACATGGTACATTTTTATTTTGTCTGATATTGTATGTGAAAAGGGAAAGGACGCTAGTGAAGACTGATATTCTTTCTCGTTTTGATACACTTTTAAGAGCGTTTTCAAATCGACGCGTTTTCGATGAAAACGCTCAGCGTATTAGTGTGGTGTGGACGGAAGGTAAACGCATCGAAGTGTACGCGTTTTTAAAAGAAAACGCATTGGTGTAGACGCGACCTAAGGTGCAGCAAATGAAAATTGTCACGCGTGAATTAGCCCGCTACAATTTTTTTATTTCTACCTGAAACTAATTTGGTCACGGAGCCTGACAAAAGCGTGACTATGCCAAAAGCGAAGCCTTGAAAATACGCTTTTTGAAAAGCAACTTCAAGATTGACTCTAAACTGGCTATTTTCTCACCATAAAGACAAAAGCAAGCTTCTTGTACCTTCCCCTACCTTCCTTTACAGTCGCCCCTCCCCTCCTTAAACTGTAAGGATGGACAGGAAAGCTGGCGTATAGACCTCTTTCGTAATGGCGGCCTATTAATATATTCTTTTATATGTATTATAATTAGCCTCTCTGACCTCGTTATCATGTGCAAAATACAAAAGAATTTTTACTTTCAAACGAGGTCAGAAAGGCTAAGTATGACACATATAGAGCGTTTTCACTCACGTGGTCAGCATCTATGAAAATTTATTGAAACAAAGGAAAACGTTTACATAAGAAAAGAGTTCAACTCCCACAGGACTGGTCTGAGACACCATGGCCGCCATTTCATTGTTTTGGGACACCAATATGGCCGCCGTAACGTCATGTGAAAACACTCTATAAAAGAATATATTAATAGGCCGCCATTATGAAAAAGGTCTATGCTGACGTCACTATCAAAATTTCTCTCATCGACAGAGTATCAAATTTTCTCATCAATGAGGCAGAGCGCGAAAATATTGGCTGAAAGTATTGGCTTTTGAGTATCCTTAGATTGTAACCTATGATATTGAAGACCTCAGAATCTGTGAACACAGCAACCTAAATTCGGTTGAAAATGAACTGCACATATTATTTCACTGTGATCTATATAATGCTTTGAGAAAGACTCTTTTTATTAAAATCATCGACCGAAATACATTATTTACAAATTACAATATCCATGATAGAGTCTGTTTTCTTTTTAACAATACTGACTTCAGCAGGCTAACTGCTAATTTCGTCTTTCAAGCATTTGAAAGACGAAAGAAACATAATTAATTCTACCATCCCATTAAATTTTCATTTCCTTAAATTTAGCTGCTTATTGTTATTTTAATCGGTAACACCTGTACAAAACGGCAATACTGAATAAACTTGTTATTATCTTTTTTAATTTCCGTTTTGGAATGTATTGGGATATCAATTACAAGTGTTTTCTGTCTGATGTCTAGCCGTGAGTGCAGGGTTTTGTCGTTTTATTGCCAATTTTTGCAGTACCCAGAAAAAAACTTTATACGGTTTAGATAAAAAACACATAGTAGTATTGAAATTTAAAACTTTTAAGAATAAATCAGTCCTTTGTTAAAAAGGAGTGTAACTTTCACGTTTTGCAGATACGAATTTTCCTGTGGAGTCCGTACGGTTACATTAATTAAAGGATACTTCCAGCTGGCACTGAAATTGTTCTTTTAACTTCATTCTAAATCAGTGCGCATGTAAAATTTACGATACAAAAGACTAATAGCATGTTTAATATACGCATTTTAAATCATATTTCCCGTTATAAGGCACTCGTTACTTTTCAAACTGTTTAACAATACATGTCATACAAAAATTTTGAAATATTAGCAGTGAAATTTATTTCAAGGCTGGCATGACTAAGTATATCAAGCTTGCGGTAATTTAGGATGTGAAACAAGCGCCAGCATAACTGTCCAGCGATAACACTACGTGCACCAGTACCCGCTTTTACACTCTTAGCAGGATATTGAATAAACAAACAAACAAACATACCAAAAACCGAAAACAAAAACAAAATTTTTCCCCTGAGCTTTGGAGTTCGGAATACAGCTCAAGAGATCCGGATCCCGCTAACGATTTGAATCCATCAGTTGATGCCCAAGCAAAAATGATATCAATTAAAAAAATTAACTGTCTGAGATCTGTATAACCAAAAATGATCCTGATCAATAATTTTTTTTGTTCGACATCTTAGCAATTATTTACAACAGATTGTAACTGGCATATGGCAAAGGGATATCCTTCTTGGTATCTTCACTTTGATCCCAAGGGAAGGTGCATCAGAGTTTCCATATGACGTCCAAGACACCATTGTAGAGCTAACTGCTGAGTTTGGTGAATTCAAAGATCTGCCATATATGTAATTAAATTAATGGATCCATGATCCGTTTTTGGATTTGCCCCAAAAAACGAAAAATGCGTTTTTTTGGATTCGGACATCATGGATTTGGATTTTCCCAAGAAAACGCACCCTCAGTAATCTCGAGAAAGTGCACCCCCCGCGAGGGTTATTTTTAACCCGGCGCGCCAGAGCGGGTTACGTCATATAACTAACGTCACCTCACTTTCGTGTAAACACGAGAGACCTTAAGTGTGCCAAGAAAACGAAACAGAGCTGATGACCTTAACAGGCCTAGGTCAAGTGGTGCCTGGAAACTTTTACCAAGTTTTAAATGAGAAATTTGTCTTGAAGTTCATACTTTTTCAGTAAATGCGCATTTCCAAAATTGAGCATGCTGCCTTTTAAGGTGTCCCGACTCTGTTTATATACTGTTGGTTATGTTTTTGAATCGCGTTTTTCAGCAGGAACTATTCAACCGATTGCTAGCAGGATTTTTGGCATCTTTTATAAAAATGGTGGAATTTTTAGAAAACGTCATTTATTTTCTTGTAGGTATAAAAACGTATGAGATATCGGCATGCCGATGCTGGTCAAATTTAACCTTAAAATGCCAAGTTAACACATTGATGAAAGTTGACTCACAAAGAGAAAAGGAGTGCAGACGGGCTATCTCCTATCTGAAAGGGCATTCTCACCTAAAGCTTAATTGCAAGAAACTGATTATGAGTAATCAGAAACCTACAGCAACTGCACTTTAAGGCTGCATGCATGTATTGTATTGTATTGTATTGTATTGTATTGTATTAGACGCAACAACTCCCAACATTGTTGCGCTACGCCTCGGCGATCACAGAACAAAAGAAATGTTGGGATTTGTTGGCTGAAAAGTTTGACTGGTTTCAAACTTTGCGCAACAACACGCAACACAATCCAACAACATGCAACAGGGTGTGCAAACGGACGCAACACGTAACATTCAACAATGTTGCGTCCGTTTACATGCAGCCTAAGAAGAACAACTTTGTGCTGAATGCCGGGTGAGATAAAAGAACTTCTATTTTTTTTAAATGCGTATTAGCCCTTATCTTTTCGAAAAATATCTCAACAAAGTAAAATATACCATCTACGAAAATCTCCTACCGGTTTTTAGCTCCGAAAGGTTCCCGTTTTGAGGAG